GTAACCCTCTCAATGTCGTGGCCAATAGAGAGGTGTCTGGACAGCTGGCAGGATCGAGCCGTCAAGGTTCTGCCGGGTCTTTGGCACGTACTTTGTCACTGCCAGCCAGCTGCGTGGGCGGCGACAGCTCAAGCATCTGATTGGTTGTTGATAACAGGACGTGTGATACGGGAATCTACGGATTTACACTCAATACAGGGAGTCACGAGAGTGAGGCCATATTGTGTGTAAATAAAGGGTAAAGAGAGATTATCTTAGAAGAAAGGCCTGGCTTCCAGCCAGCCGTCTGCACGTAGTAGATATGCAGCGCAGCGAGCTAGGTGGCCCGAGCGCAGGGCAACAGCTGGGCAGGCACCAGAGCCTCCAGCTAATCTGGGCTGTCACGACTAGTCTAAGCTATAATACAGGATATGGCCAACGATACCAGGAATCCAGGGATTGTGGTATCAACGTGGCTGCTGGCGCCGAGAGACAAGTCACCAGCCATTACACTAACAGTAGAAGCGACTACCAATATACTAAAGTACAGCCACTCTGTTAGTACAAGCTGCCCGGGGCGTCTCCATGTCATCAACAACCGAACGACATGGCACCTTTCGTTGAGTTGGCCGTCGTCTCAACTTTCACTCCAACACTGACAGGAGTTTCCGTCCTCGATGAGACACTCAACAACTATTTCTTCAATTGCCTTCATCTGAGCTCTCTACCGGATACATTCCCATGCGACCCCCCTCATCTTTTGTGCATATTCACACCCTGTCATCGGTCGGGTGTCAATGATGCGCCAGAACGTTTGGAGGCTGGCGGGTGCATTTCCAGTCGCGCATCTCAACCAGAGCCCGCGATACTCAGCTTGGAACCCCTTTATACAGAAGCGCAATCGAAATACTACCGCGGAGGATAGGGGCAAGGTTGGGCAACCATTAGATCACAATGGGCGACCACTGTCCGAAGAAGCAATAACCGCTGCCCGCGAATACTGGAGACTACAGGAGTTTATTGACCACTCTCTGTCACCCCCAACGTCCGGCCTTCTTCATGAGATACATCTTCACCGGACAACCTACACCAACGCTGTGTTGAACCAAGACGGTGCGAGTAAAGTTGCCGCCACGCGTACATACGAACCCCCATACATCGAGCCTTCAAGGGACAACGACGAGCTCCAGCCCAACGAACTGCCACCTCTTCTTGATTACCACTGGCACACATACAGCTCCTCTCCGTCATCACAATCGGTCGACCCCAGTCCAGAGCCCGGACCATCTTTTAGCTCTGAAGAAGACCACCCGTCGCTCTCTCCAGAACAAGAAGCCCTTGTTGAGCTCGCGGCGTCTGGCGATAATATCTTCTACACAGGCTCAGCAGGCTCTGGCAAATCTCGGGTTCTACATGCTATCAAGGAACGTCTTCAAGGGCTCGGACAAGTCGTCCATGTTGTCGCTCCTACTGGCAAGGCTGCCAGCAATGTCAGTGGCATGACGACCTGGTCCTTCGCTGGCTGGTCTCCGGGTCTTACCCGACAAGGTATTAATGATCTTGTGGGTAAGTCCTGCTCAAATATAGTTCGTCAACGCATCATAGGCACAGACGTCCTCATCATCGACGAGATTAGCATGGTTGAGAATCTCCATTTTGAACGCCTCAATGCCGTGTTCAAGAGAATCCGCCAGAATCGTCGACCATTTGGCGGTGCCCAGGTCATTGTCGTTGGCGATTTCTGCCAGCTACCACCAGTGTTACCGTTCAAACTCTGTTTCAAGTGCGGCAAGCAGATGAAGAGGGTAGGATGCCAAGACGAGGAAACGACAACTTACACATGCAAACCGTGTCGCGAAACCTACACTGATGCGGACAAGTGGGTTTTCCGCAGCAAAGCCTGGAAGCAATGTAATTTCACCAACATTCACCTCAAGACGATCCACCGACAGCACGACCCGCAATTCATCTCCATGCTGGAGAAATGTCGAGTTGGCAATCGCCTCACTCTCGAGGAGGTTGAGACACTTCTCTACCATCCTTCAAACACCGAACAAGGCACCAAGTTATTGCCAACGCGACTAGAGGCCCGCTTGCTAAATGAAGAAACTTTCAAAAACTTACCAACTCAAGCCAGGAGTTATCAATGTTACGATGAGTTTCGCTGGCAAAAGAAACGCCACCCAGAACTGGCTTACTTGAATGAGAGGCGTCCAGACGGCACACTCGAAGCTCTGAAGGACCAAGTCCTAGAGCCTACACTCCATCTAAAGGCGGGTATGTCCGTTGTTCTTCTCTACAACCTGAGCGTCTATCGGGGGCTTTATAATGGCAGTCAAGGTGAGGTGATCGGTTTCCAACCTTTCTCCTACAGGAGCAACGCACCCAAGCGACCCAAGCGACCCAAGCGACCCAAGCGACCCGTCAGCAACCCGAACGTAGCTCCCTCGCGGGAGGAGATGGCACAAGTCAAGCCGTCGCATGCTGAGGGACAAGACCACGACGACGACATTATTGAATGGCCAGTCGTCCAGTTTGCGAATGGCGTAACCCAACTTATACACCCCATCTTGCGAAAGATCGAGTTGGGGGAATCAGAGCCGTATTCTGAGTTGATGCGGATCCAGATACCGCTCGCGCCGGCCTGGGCCATGACCATCCACAAATGTCAAGGCATGACAATGGACCGTGTCATCGTCGACCTGTCCAAGGCGTTCGTCACCGGCCAAGCATACGTTGCTCTTTCCAGAGCGAGATCACTTGCAGGCCTGAAAGTGGAGGGAAGTCCAAGAAACCTCCTTAGCGGTATGGGAATGAACGAAACCGTCCGAAAGTTTCTAAACGACACGTTTGGAGATGAGTGGACCGGTGGCTCACTCTCTAAGACGTCCTCGGTGCCATGGTCGTAGCAGGAAGCGGACGAGACCGAGCCAGCTCCGGCTGAAGTTGAGGCCGCCAGCGCTTCATGAGGCTCTCCTGGATTCTACTGCCCAGTACCCAACATCGAGCCATGATCCATAGGGATATACCGTCTGCACCACCGCCGCCGCTCATGCCGACTTGGCCTGCCCTTGCCGTGCGGCCGGGACACAAGTCAAACCTCCTTCCTCAGCGACACTCTTTGGTTCACAGTTCCGACAATAGCAATTCATCCAACCATGTCCCACGCCATGGCGGCAGAAGTCCCTCCTCCTCCTCACCCAAAGATGCCTTTAAATCATTACCATAGGCATCAAACGGCAATATCAAGATCGATGACTCGTCCCTGGTATTGCTCGACAAAAAAGGCGGCCCTCCGGGCAGATGGGCAACCGATGTCCTCATTGCCCAGAACAACACTTGGTTGTTGGGGTTGCCGAGCGATCTCGAGCCGGGACCGTACGTGCTGCGTCACGAGCTGATCGCACGCCAATCTCAAAGACGGAGCGCAAAACTACCCGCAGTGCGTGAACTTGTGGGTAGAGGCTCCGGGACCAAAGGCCACAACAATCGGCAAGGAAGAAGTGGTGGTGGCCGGTCAGAAGGGAGGAGTGCCGGCTACGGCGCTGTATAAGTCCACGGACCTGGGGGTAGTCATCGATATCTACACGGCGCTGTCGACGTATATGATCCCAGGGCCAACGGTGGCGCCCGAGGCGAAGCCGGTGCCGGTGACGGAACAGACACTGAAGAGTACCATCACGGCGGTAAGGACGCCGGTGGTCGTAATGCGGGCAACGGCAACTGTCCCATTGCCAAATGGCAAGACGGCGGCGGCGTTCAAAAGTTGAGCTCAGTTCATGGCTTCGAAGCGGCGGCTGGGGACAGAGTCAGAAAATGGTCGGGCGGCAAAGGAGAGGGACTTGGTTGGCTTCTGACGTACATGGATTTGACGATCCGTCACTCTGGGTGGTTGTTACAGCTTTCTTTGCTTTCTTTTGTACCAATAAATTTGACGACGAATGCTTTTCCCAAGTCAGGAATCATGATGATGTAATGTGCTTCCATTGGGAATTGGGAATCGTTGACGCGAAGGGTTGGAGGGGCACGAGAGAGTGCCTGGACAGCTGGCAGAATCGAGCCGCCAAGGTTCTGCCGGGTCTTTTGGCAGGTACCTCGTCGCGGCCAGCTGCCCGATCACAACTGAAGTATCTGATTGGTTGTTTATAAGATAGCTACCCGTCCTCGCTGTCGTGGTTGCCGCGCCGGCCGCCACCAAGCACCAACAGAGGTGCTTACACGACTACTAGTACACTAACTGTGAGGGTTGTTATTTGCATACAAAAGTATCATCACATTGTTAGTGTAAAGTGCTGCTGTGTTTGCCCGTCATCAGGGCAACATCAAACCGACATTCCGCCTGCCGTCGAGGTAGGTGTTATCTCAACTTCCGTTTCACCCGACCATTTGCAGGAGCTTCCAGGTCCTCGATGAGACACACTGCACACTTTAATATCTTACCATATACCACAGCCAGAGATTCCTCCCCAGCTCATGCCCACGCAATCTCTTCCGTCTTTTGGACATACGTAGTCGCTCCTTGACATCGGTCGGGCATCAACCATGCGCCAGGGCGTTTGGAGGCTGCCGGGCACATTCCCAATAGCACATCTCAGACACAGCTCGCGACTCTTTTCCTCTTCTTGTACATCCTTTCTTTTTGCTACTCATGCCGCGGAGAGACGTCATGGGGTTTTCAAAACAGAGAATGGGGGAAAGGTCTTGCTACCACTGGATCACAACGAGCGACCGTTGTTCCAGTACGGCCTCGGTGCAGATGGCAACACGCCGCCCATCGCTTACACGACAGAAACGGAAACCGCGGCATCACGCCGACACTCCAAGGAAAACGACAAGGGAAAGGCTGGGAAACTGCTGGATCACAAGGGGCAACCACTGTCCGAAGAAGCAATAGTCGTTGCCAGTGAATACTGGAGGCTACGGCGGCTTCTAAGATCTTCCCCGATATTTCCATCGCACAATCTCACTCATGAGATACGTCTTCAGCGGGCAGCCTACAACCACATCGTGTTGAACTTGAACCGCGCGCCTGGAGCTCCCGTCACGCTCGAGCACGAACCACCAAACATTGATCCCTCCAAGGACAAACACGAGGCACTAACAAATGAGTGGAAGCAATCGACATGGGAGGCCGAAGAACTCCCAGCACTCTCTCCCGAGCAGGAACGGGTTGTCAAGCTTGCTGAGAAGCGCCACAACATATTCTTCACGGGCTCGGCTGGCTCAGGCAAATCGAGAGTTCTTAAGGCCATTGTTAAGCGGCTCAAAAGTCGGGGACTCAAAGTCCAGGTAGCGGCTCCCACTGGCAAGGCTGCCTTCAATGTGAACGGCATGACCACCTGGTCCTACGCTGGCTGGAGTCCAGGTCTGACCGGGCAAAGTATTAAAGACCTGGTTTTCCAATCCGCATATACCGAGGCTGCAAGAAAGCGAATCAAAAAGACAGATGTTCTCATAATCGACGAGATTAGCATGGTGGAAAACCACCACTTCGAACGCCTCAACATGGTCCACAAAGAAATCCGCCAAAATAGCTCGCCCTTCGGAGGCATCCAGGTCATTGTTGTGGGCGATTTCTGCCAGTTGCCACCTGTCTTGCCCTTTAAGGTCTGCTACAAGTGCGGCAAGCAGATGGAGAGGGTGCAACACCAGGACGAGGAAAAGACAACTTATACATGCAAGCCGTGTCGCAAAACCTCCACGGATGCAGACAAGTGGGCTTTCCGGAGCAACGCTTGGAAGGGATGCAAATTTGAAAATGTCCATCTCAACGAAATCCACCGACAAAGGGAGCCCGAGTTTATTTCCATACTGCAAAAGTGCAGAGTTGGCGCCCATCTTACGGACCAAGACATTGACTCGCTGATCAACCATCCCTCCCACACAGACAAAGCTACCAAGCTGTTATCAACCCGGTGGGAAGTTCGTAGGGTCAACCAGGAACAGTTCTACAAACTTGAAGGTAGGCCCCAAGTCTTCAAGTGCATCGATAGGTTTCATTGGCACCGGGAACTCCACCCGGAACTAGAGTATCTAGGTGAGAGGAATCCGCAGGACGGTACACTCAGAGCACTCCGAGAACATGTTCTGGACCCTGAGGTATACCTCAAGGTCGGCATGCCCGTCGTTCTCTACCGGAATCTCGACGTGGCAAATGGACTCACCAATGGCAGCCAGGGAGTGGTCATCGGGTTCAGAAAAGTTCCCTTTGCAAGCAGGTTTGCCGATCGCGTACTCAACACCAACATCGATGACCAAACCGACCCCTTGGTTCTCTTAGTTCTGAGGGACGAATTTCTTCGTCGGGTCCATGGTCAAATGTGCCCACTCGTTGAATTCCCAAACAACGTAACAAGGGTCATAGAACCGATTACCCGGGAAATTGAATACGGGAGCACACCGCCGCATACAATGCTCATGCGAACACAACTACCGCTTGGTCCGGCCTGGGCGATGACTATACACAGGTCGCAAGGCCTGACAATGGACCGCGTTGTCGTCGATTTGTCCAAGGCCTTCGCCATGGGTCAATCATATGTTGGGCTTTCCAGAGCCAGATCACTCCAAGGGCTCAAGGTGGAAGGGGATCCAGAAATACTCCGCACCGGCATGGAATTGGATCAAGCTGTGAAGGATTTCATGGATGAGACGTTTGGCGATGTGTGGATGGGTGGGGTCTCTGTCTCTGGGACGTCCTCCAAGTCACCGATGCAGCAGGCAATTGACGAAAGCAAGCCAGCCCCGGCTGAGGCTGAGGCTGAGGCAGGCGCCGCTTCATGAGGGCCTTCCGTATTATACTACCGACCCCTGAGCCATTACCCATAGGGATATACCGTCTGCACCACCGCCGCCGCTCATGCCGACTTGGCCTGCCCTTGCCGTCTGGCCGGGACACAAGTCAACCTCCTGCCTTAGCGGCACCCTTTGGCTCGCAGTTCCAACAATAGCAATTCATCCAACCAAGTCCCACGCCATGGCGGCAGAAGTCCCTCCTCCTCCTCACCCAAAGATGTCTCCAAATCATCACCATAGGCATAAAACGGCAATATCGCCCCCCTTGGTGTTCGTGTTCCCGACGTCCAAATGATGTCACAAGGCAAATTCAACACGCCTGCACTAGATACCCAACCCATGGCACCAAAAGGCGGATGAATCATAGCTGTGCTCGCTAGAGATAACCAGACTTCGGTGTGCACACAGGAGCGTCACAGGTAACCTCCTTAGTGGCAAGCGTCCCTCTAGCTAGCTGTAAATACAGCCCTTCGGATACTCTCAACCATGAAACACTAGCAAGATGGGGGAAAAAATGCAAGGAGCATTGATCACCGTACAAGCACAAAAGCGGCTCCTACTCATTTACCATAGCGGTGCGGAATGGGGCCACAAAAATATTTATTTGCATGGAGTCAAATCTCATGGACTGCCTACCACCTACCTACCTACCTAAGTATGTATCTTACACTTTTCATGTCCATTTAGAAACTGCCTACCTATTTAGACATCTAGAACTACATTTCTTGTGGACCTTTAACCCCGTCCAACGCCTAGTATCCATCTCAAGGCGTTAAAAAGCTCCACACCTTATCGTGCCAGAAAGGTTTCGGAAGAAGAGGGCGTCATCCAGTTATCCAAACAGCCAAGCCTACCTCGTGACCACCCTTCTTTATTTCTACGAACTCATCATTCCCAATCTTCTTTCATTGACCGTCCATTTCGCCGTCAGGCACTGTTGCAGCAAGCCCTCATCTCCGGGGAAGACGTTACCTACGAGTGTTTCACTCACGCATCCAGGTGCCTGCTCCGTTCACTTCTCTTAGCTGGCTTGGACTGGTCACTGGGCCGGTCCTGGCCATCTTCCATCTTCCTGTCATAATGGACAGATGGTGCCTGCCTGCCTGCTACCTATCTATGTACTACCAGGACATGGCAATGACTGAACCCAAGAACACAGGTCTTGAGGCCGCGGGTGTTATGATAAAAGACCGCCGCACGGGAACATGATGAAGTCCACCTAGCCTGAACGCCCAAGTATTTCGCTGAACTATGGATTCATTCATGCTGCCTATTCCTTATGTCGGACACCGAAACAAATGTAGTACTTTCCGCCCTAACAATACTTCCTCCGCTTAGGCATGTTCCACGCGTAGCGATAATCTCGTGCCGGATCTCAAGCGGAGCAGCCAGAATGAGAGGGACTGCTCCCCAGGCCATTGTGGATAGAGGCATCGTAAAGACTGGCACGAGAAATTTGAGGAATTAGCTGTTTGCAAAACACGTGGGACAATTGAACGATAAACTTGCCGGACCTCGGTGTCCGCTTTTGCGACTGTGTCTTCTTAGATAGGGTGAGGATGATGAAATGAAACCGGAACATCCATAAGGTACGAGTAGAAGGTGTAAAGGAGGAAGAAGAAGGGAGGGGAACGAGAAGGAGGGACAAAAGAGGATGTTTTATACTCCAGTAGATGGACAACTAGGGATATGAGGAGAGCAACGCTAGCTCGGACAGCTTTCTAGCTGCCTAAGGACTCAAAAGTCTCGACACTTGAACCCCGTCGAAAATATATCTTCCGCTATGCCTTTCTCCCAATACCATTAACCTCTAAAGAAGACCCAAAGTACGCCCTTGTATACCACATACACTAGTATGAATGCAATGCCAAGCTGAAACTTTAACAACAAGAGACTAGCCCGTTGCGAAAGTTGCGAAAGCAAAGAAGAAAAAGGGAGAAAATGAGACGACCTTGACGTCAAATCTTGAAGGACCGAGGCCACTTGGCGTCAACGGCTCCAATGTGCTGCTCAATCAAGTAAGTGCGCTGCTGGTTTCCCTGGATAATGCCAACGCATCAGAAATTGTTATGGTAGTCAGTCTTTATTACGCCCACGTTTTATCATTGGTGACATAAAGAAGAGTGGTAGCAACACCTTACGTACCTGGCTCGGAGCTTTCAGGGGCACATCTGAGATTTCTTTCTTTGTGCTCGAAAGCCAAGTCAATCCCTCCACTTCACCTTTCTCCACGACGATGGAGTCGCTATCAGCCACCACCTTCACGACGACCTTCTCCAAGTTTCGTAGCTTCATGAGCTTGGGGAAACAGCGAGAACAAACAAAGAGATCATTTGCCTTGACATCTCTCTCGGACGCCGCGGCATGTAGCCCTTCCATTAAGGTTACCCATCTATTGGAGATAATAAGCTCGAGGGTTGTGAACCGCTCCAGTCTCAACAGCCAGTCCCAGGCGAGATTTTCGGTTCGTATTCCCTCGGAGTTTCTCAAGCACAAACAAGGCTCCCATTGAAGACTGACATGTGTGTATTGCGTCAAGAGGCGGAAGGATTGAATACAGCGTGGGGCATCAAGTTCCGGAAGAGTGGCGTTGTTTAGGACGAACGTATGGAGAGCCAGCTGTCCACGGTGCCATCGCAAGTATACCTGAGTCCTGTGTAAGCATTCCGACAGGACTTCGTATCTCATCTGCCGACAGATTCAAACCAGGGCGTGAACTTGTCCAGCCTGGAGCTTTAGGTAGCTTTTGTTTAAGCAGCCAGAAAAACCCTGTTCGATGTGCTTGTTGCTATCGACTTGAGTGGCCCAAGCGTAACGGTATATTTCGTAGCGGATCTCGACCGGCAGAGCGAGGATGGTTGGTTTGGACATTGAAGCCATATTGAGAAGCTATGAAGGGGAAGCTGCGGGGAATACACGATAGATGAGTTTCGAGCATACCTCGGCTCCAGTGTACTCTGGCTGTATACAACCGAGGTGTCAATAACGTATTTGACGAGGTATGTTGCTTGCCGCCCGAATATGCTCTTGGGCGACTAAAACGTGCCGATTCTGTAGTTGTAACAGGGAAGAAACCTAAAACCAGGGCAGCTTAAATACCCAGGACAGGAGTGCCGACGAATGAAAGTGAATGGACGCCAAGAAGCATGGCCAGCCAACACAATAGCAGAGTGACGGGCAGGCAGAAGCCCCAAAAGTTTGAAAGTCGTCTGGTCGAGAAGACTTCTCTTCACGTCGAAGGAAAAAGGGATCGCAGATGGAAGGAATCGAGGTGGTAGAAAGTATCCAACAAATTCGAGATTCGTTTGTCCGTCCACTTTGAAAAAAATTCCGAGGACCAGATCAGACGACTGTCAGGCTGGTGGCAGACCGTAACTGGTGCTAACGGACCCGAAGCTGGCGGGCAGCGATCCGATACGAAATGGACCAAATAGGCTCCCCTAAATGATTCCAAGTCAACCTCCGTGTATACATAGAACAAAATGGCAGGACAATGGATGACACAAAAAAACATGGAAAGAAAATGAAAAGAAGAGAAAAAAAGAACCCGGGAATGAACAGAACACTGCTGAAAACTTGAAATCCATAGTTTCGTCCTCATCTCGGCAAACGATTTGACTCGGGGAGCCCACGCCTATAGAGAAACTTCCAGTTAGCCATATAGCTGGGAGGTGGTGCCGTGGTCGGCGTCCAAGATACGTCGTTGGATGAACACCACAAGGAGAGAGCAGTACGTGGGCTGCAAGTACACCGCTCAGCAAATACGAACCACCTCCTCTCCCTCACTCCCATCAAACAGATTCTCTTCGACATCATGGCTCGGATAGCCATGTGGATAAAACATGCCCACACCCCTGTACAGCAATAAGGGCGCCTGTTCTCCTTCAGGCTCTGATCCCACAACCCGCCTGGGAATTAATCCCATTCCCGTGTCGTGTTTGCCCGCTTTTTGACTTCATCGAATCAAGAGCAAAAGCTCGAGAGCACCGCACTCCTTTGGTCCACAAAAGCCTTCATTCTCTTGGTCTGGGCCCTCGAGGCTCTTCATAACCGGATGTTCATCCCAACGAACCACCACTCCCTCACTCTTGCCCTCCAGTTTCACGCGATACTCGCCCCACCCCGGATATGGGCCGTAAACAAATGCGTCCTTGACGAAGCCTTTGACGAGAATGACTATTTTTGTCTTCTTCTTGTTGAGTTCCAAGCTTGTTCCTTCTGTGGCGTCTCCTTGATGGTTTTTCTCTTCCTCCTCCCTATACCCAACAAGATGAGCCACATATCTCAGAGTGTCTTCCGTGAAATATCTCCAGTCAATTGTTCCCTCAATCTGGAACTCCTTGGCCCCTTCCGCAGCCGCCCACGACCATGACGGCGCACCCGCGTCGCAGGGGAAACGGAGCGCTAGGATCCGTCGGAAGTTCCAGAGGAGATCAAACGGCCTGAGCTCCTTCCATGTGCCCAAGCCCGGGAGGTAGTTGAGACCAATGGGGTCTTTGATGTTCTGGACAACACCGGCCAAGGCGATGAGCCGGTCGGAGGAGCACGTTAGGGAGGTGATGGTGTAATTGGTTAGGATTTCTTGCCAATGTTGGGGGAGCTTTCGGAGTGTTGGGTTCATGGTAGTTAGTTGGCCGGTTGGTGCAAAGCCTGACGCAGGCTTTTTGATCGTGGGTTTTGTCTTGGTGCCGAAAAGCGCCTGGAGTTTCCCTCGTGGGGTGAAGAAACCAAATGTCCAAAAGGGCTTCAGGCTTGGAAGCCGAGTCAGAGGAAGGCTAACTGGCCCCGTCTTGGCTCATCTGCCCTGAGCATTTCAGCATGTTGATGAGGAACTGGTGCTTTGCCAAAGGTGTGTATAAACTTTCAGCTAACACAAAGCTCTTGATGGGAAGTTCCTCGGATAATGCGTGATGCCGACACTCCCAGTAAATCTGCTTGCCCCAAAAATGTAGCAGTCTAGGCGGGAGCATGCGTTCCTGGAATACCCAACCGCAGTCGAGCAAAGGGATTCGCCCTGGTTCTGGAAAGCGACGGAGACATCTGTCCCGAATGGTTGCGTATACGGTGCTTTGCGCCTCGGGTTTGCTAATTTGACACGGAGCAATCTTCAATGGATTTCTTTCTGAAAAACATTGGTCAATTTGGTCGATACCAAGAGCGGCAAGATTGCAAACTGAATGCCCGTCGACGGTGCTCATGGCCAGGGCCTCTTTCTCCCAGTCCTCACGGGAATCCTGAATAATGCACAAGGAATCTATCCAAATGTACCGATACCCTAAGCTCCGTGTTATTTCTAAAACGTCCTTGAATGTCTGCGAGAGGCCGTCCCAAGGTATGGCTTCCTGGAGTGTGGTCACATTTGAAATAGACAGTTTGATATTTCGAACAGCTGTGATGGCCCATGAGTGACTGAGTGTTAGGTAGGGCATATCGGCCAAAGTAGCTGAACCTGGAGTGAGGACCAATCGTGGAGACAAGTGGCCGGGGACGTCTCCAATATCAACAAGTCGTGTTGGTGGCCTTCCAGATCCGTGACTGGAGGCATTAGAACGGCAATCTGGGTGGTCTCTGACACAACCCTCTAGCCAGAGTTTTTCCAGCTTGAGAGCCCTGGCTGAGCCAGTTGAGCAAGGAAGGGATTCCTCTTCTCGAGTTCCCACCAACTGTGGACAAAGTATGTCGGTGTCTGTCGTGGTCTTATATTGGCAAATACTCTCCCGCCAAGTACTCAACACGATTGCTCTGCAGAGAAACGAAATGCATACCTTTTCGCCTCCAAATTGAGACTCGCCCAAAAACATGCGAGTGACCCTCTGTAACCGGTATAGATCTCAATAACTCTTCATGGGGCAAATAATCGTCTTCTTTCTTTCCATTTTCCCATATATTCTTCCACTCGTCTCGTTTCTTCTCTTCGAAATTGACGGTCAACCGAACCTCCGCTCCCTCTTCACCCTTCCTCCATGCCGCATGGTAGTGCTCCAAGCATGCCCAAACAACCCCGTCGTCGTACCAAGGGTACATCTCCACATCTGCGTCATGGAAGAGCAGATTGCAGAGGTGGCAGCCAGCATTACGGGACTCGAGCACTTCGTAAATGGTCCGCCTATAGAAGAAAATCTCTTTCTCAGGCTTCCCTTGGCTCACCCTTGATGTATGCTTGTCATTGCCCAGATGCCTGATCAGCTTGGATTCTCGCACAATCCGGGCGCAAGCATCGCACAAGACGTTGGCGGGCAGGGAATCGGGCGGCGAAGGGTCATCATATCCCTCCTCCACTTCGGATGTATCCATTGCGGTGGACGGTTTGTAATGGTTGCTGCTGATGAGGTGTCTGGAATTTTGGAGTTACTCAGCGTGTCAAAACGTGGGATGCAAATCTAACCATTTAACGGTGTCAGCAACGGAGTCACATCTACCATCAACGTAGAAAGAAGTCACCTTCGGCCTAGCCCTTTTAGACAAGATGTGGGCCTCAGACGATGACGCTTGCCGCTGCCTAATTGATTTCCCAACTGTAAGCAGTATCGGCAATCGAAAGGACATCGACCGTCATCGCGGCGATGATGGGGATTGTGGTGGTGGTGACTGGCGATGGTGGTAAAGAGGAAAACTTGAGAGACGTCAGAGACGGGAACTTCAACTTTTTCACTTTTTCAACCCCGCTTATTCCTCCCTCTCTTCCGCACGCTTCTCGCTCCTTCTTTCTATTCTTCTCACCACCTTCTTTTTCTCATCCATCGTACCTTCAAAGAAAGAAGATTTCTCGCCATAGAGGACACTGTCCTCAGCAGGCCGGGTGCTTAGTCATGCTCGTGCATGAGGTGTGCATTCGAGACATAACATGTGCATGGATTAATTGGGACCATGCATTTGCACAGCAGAAGAATCCCCTGATCCTTCCCACCATCTGCTCTCTCGAGATCATCAACATCATTGTACTGAACATGCCAACATGAAATCATCAATGATTTTAATTCTACAACTATATGGGTAAAGGTATTTCTTTCTATCGATCCAATCCATCAATCCCGTCTTGAGTTCTTGTTTGTTGACACCTTAATGCCAGAATGGATATATTCCAACAAAAGTGTCAAGCGCTCCCTCGTATCGATTCACCAAATTTGTGTCGAGCATGTCTTCATGGTGGCCGAGATGCTCGATCAGCACTTGAATATTTTCATGGACTGAAATAGCGCCCATCAAGTTTCCGTGCCGCATGAGAGTTTCCCTCTCTCGCCAAATTCTTTCCTGCTCTCCCAGAGATTCATCCAGACATGATCCTCTATGCAGGCACCAACTTTGTCTGACAAACGCCCCTATTCACTAAAATCACCAATGCGGTACTCAGCCCCGTAGACAACCGACTCCTAAGTGATAATCACGCGTTAGTTGAGCATTCCTGAAAGTTTTGAGCGTGAACAGGAAGAAGGAAATTACCCTCAATGTGGGGTGGAGTAAGGACCCGAACAAACATACCTTTCTCTCATGGATAAGTTCTTCCTCAATAGCCGGCAAGAGTGCCTCATACCTAGCCAAAGGCACCGTACTCTCCCCAATCTCCTTCATCTCCTCCTCTGCGGCCATTAACGCCAATGCGCCAGCCCTCAGCATCCAGTACGACTTAATCTGCTCCTCGTCATACTCTATAGCCTCATCATCGTCCTCAAACAGCGTCCAAATTACGACCTTTTCCAACGTCCTGGACAGCCTTAGGAGCTTTGGGAGGCATTTGTCGCAGTATGTGCAACCATTCGTAGATAGGACACCGACTGTCTTGAGCCTTTTCAACTTTGTCAGCCACTCTAGGACATGAGGCTGCATTGGAGGTTGGTATTTTGATCTGTCGAAGCACAGACAACCAGTCCAGCAGATGCTGACATGCTGAATATAGTCGGTAAAAAGCGACGACGACTGGAGCACCTCAAACATTGCGTAGTTGGGAAGGGCGTGAGGTGTGAGCTTCGGAGCGTGTTCAGTAGGGCCGCGGTACCGGTTGTAGATGCGAACACTAAGGGGTGGATAAACCATGCCAAAATGGAGCCGCGTCCTCGGGATAATGCTAAAGAAGTACACGTCAGTGAGTTCCTCGCGGACCTTTCGGCAGGTAATGGCCAGGTTTTGAATGGCGGTGATCATTTTGAGGTGGTGGTTTTGTATATTGACACCCTCCAAGTCTGAAATTCAGTCTGAAATGGAGTCCGATTCCGTGTCTGATCCCGAAACTGATCCCGAAACTGATTCCGAGTTTGATCCCGAGCCTGACCCTGAGTCTGGATTGCTGTCGGAGCTGCTACCGGAGCCGTCATCGCGGTCGCTGTCAAGATTGCCCGGAAGAGTACAGATCTCCCGGTAGATCATAACCCGAACCTCGGTAGGTAGACGGAGAAAGATGGATTTGCTATTTGGGGGAGCACATGTTCGAGGTTTCTTCTGAGCTGGCGCAGGTCGTGTGTTTTTTTTGGAGTGCATGTTGGATGCTTTCTCTCAAAAAGCCAGAATACAAGTTGAAGGTTTCTTCTGGGAGAGTGTTAGCTTCTTCGAACATATATCGGAATTGCATTGTCCTGCTGAGACTACTTACCTGGCAGCCTATAGGATGTGAAGGTATGAAGAGGACGGGTTCTCACAATGAAGCGAGGAGAATAGATCGCAAAGGGCGGTGGAAAGAAAGAGGTTGTATATCTTGGTCGTCGAGTGTGGTGCTCGTTGACAATCTTGGAAATATCTGACAAGTCCGTAAACGAGACTGGAGAATTCGAGATCCGAAAAGTCGATGACAGAAAATCAGATTGACTTTGAAATGTTGTCAGGAAAAAGGAAAAGTTTGATGGCAGGGCAGCGTGGACGGCATTATATACTGCGGTGTACAGTGAATTGGAAGCTTTGTGTGTAGGTGAAGGGCAATATATTCTACTGCCTTGGCAAAGGTTTGATGAAGGGCAGAAGAGATGCGGCGCTCAAGGTTCTGAGGTTCTTGGTGTCGAGGCCAGACGAGGTGAAGGTCGTCGCCAGTGCAGGTTCTGTATCAGAGGACCTAGTCAGACACAACACTCGTGTCAATCATCAGCAGAATACTTGGGTACGTTTCAACTGATGTTCACTGATAACGGTTACTCAGCTGACGATCCGTAGATGTACACAACCGTTGACAAACTGCCAACCCTTCAGGTTGTCACCAAGTCCAAATCACCAACTTCACCACCGGCACCGGCACCGGCACCGGCACCACTTAAATGCATCGCGGCCGTTGTGGCTGCTATCATCGCTGTCATGGTTGTTGTCATTGTCGCTGTCGCACGGTCGTCGGATTTTGTCATACAAATAATTAGGCTGGGGATTGAAGCCGTGATGATGATGGTTGTAAAAGGAAGAAGTCGGGAAGGCCCTCTCTGGGTGGTATTTCACTTGACCGCCTCGCTTCTCTACGCATGTCACTCCTTCCCAAATTCCTTCCCCTCCTTCCTCCTCTCCTCCATCGTGTTTTCCTAAAACACAGATTTTTCAGCGTCAGTCAAATGAATTGTGCAGTGTTTTCCAGGGGGCAGGGGATTAGTCGTGCTGCTTGCAGTGGTGCTTGAGGCGTGCACCTGCGTTCAAGAGAAGACACTTGTTCATGCATTGGGCTCAATTATCTCTCTTTCAAAATCGCCAACACCATAGAACTCGAGATGCCCAAGTCAATCCAGTCATTGTAGATATCTAATCCTATAACTGACGTATGTAAGAAGCTCTGCCTATCAATTCCACTTTCGTCCTCGACTTTCCTTGACATCTCACCTTCTGACCGGACAGGTATCGACATGCACGCAACCAAATGACCGAGTGGCTTCTTCGTTTCCCCTTGAGTATCCATCCGACAGACAGTCCTTCTACCCGTTCGAAAGCTTTCAAATCCTCCATGTCGGCAATCAAACGCTGTCCAAGAGAGGCCAGACAACGTCGGCAGCACCAAAGTTGTGCTTGAACTTGTACTTCGATGCGTGTTTCTTGACAACGACATCAGTCGTCTTATCCCCTTCTAGGTCCCCCTCCTCCTCCTCCTCCTCCAACCCGGCCGTATCCCCCACCCTCTGGAACCACTTCTTCGTCGCCCATTCTCCATCCCCTCGAGCGACAATGCTGTACCGCCGAACTGCAATATCCGGGCCGTCGTCGGGAAGCCAAGGCCGACCGACTACCTTCTCCAATTTGCCCAGGACGTCTGGGAGCCTCCTCCGGCACGCCTCACAGAAAAGATCGGGGTCGTGCCACATCTCCTGCCATCGCTCGTCCTCGGTGCGCGGCACCATGCCCATACCTCTAACCCATTTCTTGGTAAGATCCTCGGTCGCGCTGTACTGCAGGTCAGGAATCACGAGCTCCAGCGTCTTCAGCTGTTCGCACGCGCCCAGCCAGTCGAGGATCTTATTACAATCGAGCGCGTGATGAAACTGACGGCCTTGCGCGCGGAAACAGTTGCCCCAGTGCAGGCTGACGTGCCGGACATGTTTGGTGAACAGCGCAGATGACCAAAGCTTTTTGAAGAAAGTGTAGTGGGAAACGCGGCCCCCAAAGTATGCGTGAAAAGGCGGGTAGTCATTGCGCAGGTGGAGCTGGGTGAGCGCAAGCTCCGAGATGAGTTCGTCGCGGATCTGGGCGCAAGTGTTGAAGAGGTTCTGAAGACTGACCACCGCCTCAAAGTGCTGGTTGATATGCTCAAACTGCTTGTCGATGAGGGTGGACTCCTCTTCATCGTCGGAGTCGAAATCCATATCGTTGTACCAGTCGACATCTTGGACATCTTTGGAGTCAGACTGGACAATAACTGGCGAGACCTCCCGGTAGATCATGAACCGGATCTCAGCGGGGAGGGAGAGGAAATGTAGAAGTTCGTTGTGGCTGGGAATCGACATTTTGAATAGGCGAGTGGCGGCGGTGGTTGATAGTCGCGGTCGTGAATTGACGTGGCCGTCGATGGTAGTACTCGACAATGAGGTCGGGAAGATGGGATGCGATAAATTGAGGGGAAGACACTAGCAAGTCTTTTCGCAAAAAAAACGCTACTAGTGGACGAACAAGTCGATACGAAAAGATCGGGTTGACTGTGATGTGGTGTGAGGAAGAATTGAAATTCACGACAGAGAAGCCAGAAATCTTGGTGAGTGGGTGAAGAGTAGGTAAAAAAAGGGTACGGCACCGTAACGAATGCCGCCACGTGGTAAAGGTTCACGAAGCAGGCAGAGAAGGCCAGCAAGGTTCCAGACTTGCTCTCTCTTGGTTAGGTACTAGGTGAAGGCTGCATCCAGGTTCTTTACCCTACTCAGATTCGTGGTCCCTGATCAAATGATTAGGACAATTTAAGATTATTCTCCTTATCTATCCTGAAGTACATAAAAGTTTTTGGGAAACAATGCCCCAATGAATTGCTGAGAGACACCCTTCTACTGCAGAACTGCCCACATCTGAAGGACGGAGGTACAGTTCACTTGGTGGAATGTTGCAAAGGAAAGGGGGGGGGGAATGTACCTGGAGGTCCATGTATGCCGGCTATCATGTGGTTTAGACGCCGCTGAGTCCATGTATGGCGAATAATGCCTCGAAGTCATATGTCAATTTCATGGTCAAGAGAATACTATGAATCCCGACCCATATTCAATACATTGTGGAAAATAACAGTAAATAGGTATAGGTCTAGGATAACGGTATTTTTGGGGGCATGGGCGAGAGTTAGGCTAACGCATTAAAGTATACCATGTACAGTCATCCTCACCTTAAAATTACCTGTACGCAGCAAATCTGTGGGTAGCAGGATAGAGGTACATAGATGTAGTTGTCGTCATCAAATTCCAGGGCAGACAAGTACCTTCGCAAAGCTCTCAGTCATTCTACTGATATCGCAGTTCGAAGTTTGCTATCGAAAATGCATTCATAGTAAATAACATGCGTAAACCAGGGCATGAAATTCTACAATAGTTGCAAACTGTAAAAAGCATCCATAATCCCGGAGTCGCCTTCCTCGTCAGTTATCATACTTCTTCCCCCAAAAGCCATCCGGATATAATCCTCGAGGCAAGGTAAGAATCAAACTGAGGCTGACAAGGGGAAGTCAACCTTGACAACACCCATGTGATGCTTGGTCTCGTGTACCACGTCCTTCCTCACGGTGACATCCTCCTCTCCAACCATGACCGTACTCCTCGCCCCCCAAAAGTACTCCACCAAATCCAGCTCCAACTGTGGATCGATAGTAGCTGTCACATCAATGAAGGTGTTGTCGTAATCAATGAACATCCGGAAGCTGACCTTCTCCAGCAACTTTGGCATCGACACGAGCTTTAGTAGACAGTGTTCGCAGAATTCCTCTTTCTCCACCGTTTCACCTGGTGCCCAATCGCCGTCAACCGCTCTCAGCGCGCTTTCCGAACGCGTAATAACCACCTCCAGTGTCTTGAGGTTCTCGCACTTGGCCAGCCTGGCATATGACCAGGCTGAATAAATGTCCTCTCTTTGCAGTGACAGCCATCCCAGTGGACACTGACGTGCTGAATGTGCTTTGCGAACAACGACGAGGAACGGAGCACGTCGGAGATCTTCCGGTTGATTAGAGACAACCGTGAGACCTTGTGGCGAGGCGCTGGGAAGCGGCGGCGAGGACCTCGGCGTGCTGGATAAACGTCGCCCAGGTGAACTTGGGTTTTGGATAGGATGCGAGTGAAGAACTCCCCGGTAAGCTCGTCGCGGATTTGGTGGCAAGAGTTAGCGAGATTGCGAAGTGTGGTGACCATCTGGAGCTGGTCGTTTGTTAAATCCAGATCCTCCGAGTCGGATTCGTAGACGTCATCATCGATGCAGGAGTCAGAGTTATTGTCCTTGATTTCATCGTTGTCAGGATCCTCGTGCTCGGGGTCGGCCAGGTGAGCGCATGACTCCCGGCAGATCATGAAACGGATCTCCGCAGGAAGACGGAGGATGGGGAAGACGTCGGTGTTGTTGGAGAACAACATTCTGGATAGCTTTGCTGGAAAATGTTAGCTGCATGGAATATATGATCGAACTGCACGCTGAGCTTATGTACCTGGCGATTTTTGGCAAGCGAACCGAATGCAGTACCGCTATTGATTGGTCTCTCACGGTAACGTATGGAAGGAGGGCAGATCGCAAAGGAATCGATGATATAGGAAGATGTGACGGTGATTACCAAGCAAAAGCCTGCCTGGTGGGCGTTGGTGGTAGAAATTGTCGAGGTCGTTGCGAAGATATAATGCAATAGGCTGGATGTCGGGCGTGAGGAAATCGGCGCGAGACAAGCGGGTTGACTTCGAAGTGGTGTCAGGAAGAAGGGAAAGTTGATGCCAGGGCAGCCAGGGCGGCATTAAATACTAGCCGGAGGGGCGGTATCGGTGAATTGGAGGCCGAGTGAAGGTAGAGAGTGCTCGAACGAGTGTCACCATCTGGCAAAGGGCAAAAGCGGTCGGTCGTTTAAGGTTTCCATGCAGCTTCAACAACAAGTGAAGGCCTTCTCCAGTTCAGGGCTTGTATCATCCGATCCCCTTCACCATGGCACACGACCCAGTCTAGCGCTTGAAGAATACATAGTGATCGTTAGTATCACTGCGCACTTCACTCGTACTCCATCATTAACAGAATTCCCATCCCAACAAATGACCATACTGTCCCCAACCCGAGCCTTCACTTGTTCCACTCCACCGACGAACACATGCCATCTGCTCGACATCGGCATTGTTCTGAATGACGCTTTGTTGATCCTTGTCAATAACTTCCTGTTCCTGAAGCTGGCCGACATTGTTTTAGTTTTGAGGAGGTAGCGTTCTTTTCGTACTGGGGCCGGCCCAAAATGGTCTGGTAGGAAATTTGGCGTCTCGGACACTATGGCACAACGTCCCAGTAATAACAGTTGGTAGTCAGAAAACAGCACGGGAAGGTAAATTGAGTAATCAAATATGTGCTCCAGAAGTTTCAATTGATTTAATAGTGTTTCGAGTTTGTTGTTGCTATTTATTGTAGGAGATCCCCTGCTCCTTTTCTGCACGGGAACTTTTGCGCCGTGACAGTTTGCTTAACCTTGGCGAATTAGATGAGCAATAAGAATACCAGTTGGCCATGGAATAGTCCAGTTTTTGACAAATGGTTAGCTTGTTTTGGCCTTCCTCAGTAAAGCCACTCCTGCAAAACTGGGCGAAAATCTCCCGGATCAAGCCATGTCTTCGCTAGGGCTGTAGGGATGCGGCCGGAATTTTCGATGCCGATTCAGACCCAATGGCTGGCCTCCCCATTAATAGCCTACGATACTTTAAATGACATCAGGCAGAGGCCACTCGACGTCAACATCACCGACGTGGTACTTGATCTGGTATGTCGGTGACTTCTAAGACTCGTTAATTCCCATCCAACTTTGAGAGCGGAAAGAAAATGAACGGAAACTACCAATGAATTGGGGTAGGGCATAACAGGGAGCAGCAAAACATACCTGGTTCTCACCCACATCACCTCCTTCTTTCACCCCCTCAATGTCATCAATATACATACCTCTAGGCTCCCGGTATCTCTCCTCCAGGGTCCTCCTCTTGCGATGCCATTCGGTGACGTCCCAGATCTCTCTGACGGTAGAGACAGTAGAACCTTCGCTCCAAACTCTGCAAACCACTTTCTTCAACGTGCGCGGCAAACGTATGAGGTGGTTGCGACATTCGTAGCAGAACATGCACAAATTCCTGATAATCCACCTCTTCCTCAGCCACAGTCGGGGCCGGCAGCGCTAATCTACCCCTGGAGAACCGCTGCATCTCTTTGTAGCTAGGGTCGGTAAATACCAGCTCCAAGCTCTTCAGCTGCGGTAGCTTGCGTAGCCAGCGAAAGCCCCTAGAGTGGTCACCACGCTGAGCTATGCCCCTGTAAGAATCATCGACGCACATGCAACCGCCCCAGAGGAGGCTTACGTGTTGGATGTGTTGAAACAGGAAGGGGGACCCCCGAAGAACTTTGTGGACGCTGCGCTTGCTGCCTAGGTGGATCTGTGTAACCGGGAGTATGTGGGTAATATACTCGTGGAGTACTTCGTCCCGGATCTTGTGGCAGATTTTGGCGAGGGATTTGAGACCAGCAATGAGGCGGTGGCTAACAGGTAAGGTCCAGAGTGCCCGGTATACCGTTACTCTGAGCTCGCCAGGGAGAGCGAGGATAGGGGACCGGAACTCGTGACCACTACGCCGGATGTTTGGGTGATCCGGCTTGCCGGTCATTGGCATGGTCATTCTGTTGTTCGTTCGGAAAATGGTCCTAGGATATGTTAGCTGGTTGAATAAGGTGCATGTGTTGACTGTAGAGGTACTTAGTTGATGAATTCTTGTCAGTCAAGATGAGTTGATCTGTGTCGGATTCTCACGATGCCTCGAGGAAGGTGATGGATCAAACAGGGTCCGACAGAATTGGAGAGGTGGTCAGAACGTTGGGCGACCGGAGCGGGAGTGAAGGTTGCCTAAAGGCAGAGTCGACGAAGGGACGTTGATGACGGTAGGTAAAAATTGTCAAAGATGACTGCTATTCAGGCACTTATATAGAGGTTGTTGAGCGTTAACGTTGTTATAGGTTAACGCTGCCGATCAAGAGTGCCGTCAAATATCGCCAACGGTGGAGTGGCCGACGGTAAAAAATTGTGATGTTGAACGTCGATGTGTAGGAAATTGTCTCGACTCTGGAGTTTTTTGAGGGAAGAGGGGAAATGGGAGCCAGGGCAGCATTAAATCCCTTCTAGTAAAAATAGGAGAGTTCTGGTGAAGGGGAGCCCAGTGAATAGCTGAACAGTGGTGATTGGCGTCATCTTGGTCAAGATTGAGGAAGGGCAGAAGAGCAGGGTGCCTCAAGTTTGCAAATTTGATGCTAGATGAAATTTTACCATCGGTTTCAGTTCAGGTTCCTATTTCATCAAAGTTATCATGCACAACAAACGTACCGATGATATTCACCTTGAAACTCTCAATTGAACCTGTGTTTCGTGCAACATATATTTGTTGATTCCATCACCGGCGTCTTCGTATTGCGCCCGGTTTCCATCTAACATCTGGGGCGGTATGGCTTCTCTGGCGTAGTTGAATCGTGTGGTCTTGTTTGATGAGGAAGTGGTCAAACAGTTCCGTTCGAAAAAGGGCAAAAGTCCGGAGTTTTTGTCTTCAGCGGTTGTAGTCACAATAGAAGACCTTTGAGTTGACGACTGAACTCGAAGGGCAGACGAGCGGCGGTGATGGTGGCGAAAGAATTGGGACTTCCAAGTGTGAAGCCATGGAGAGAATTTTGGTGGAATCGAACCAAGCCAGCCCAAGCGGGGTTACGTCCTTACAATAGCCCGAAAAGAAAGAGAAAAAATCACACGATTCATTGAGGACCGGCCCATTTTCGACTTGACAGAGGAGCTGGTTCATTACTGCTTCCCTAAAAGGTGCAAGTGAGACCGTTAGCACCTCAAGGCGCAGTCGTTACTTTTCTAGAAAGTAAAAATGAGCCCAGTAGGTGCCCTTAGGAAGGAGCGACCGGAGCTTGGTCGAGCTCGATAACACTCCGAGTCATCCAGTCGAGTCAGGAAAGAAGGAACCGTCCTGGACCATACCAGTATTAGAGTGTGTGTCAGCGTTCTCCTTGGACATACGTCGACGTTTCATAATATATGAGCAAAGTAAAAGACACTAAAGACGTTGGGCTAGTTCGACGGGACTCGAACCTCCTGCTGCACGACCACATAACAGGTACTGTAGCTGACTGACATGTTCCATATTGCTCCATGTTGGACATGTAGCCGCAATCACCATATGAGCGTAGGTACACAGTGATTGTTCGGCTTTTCTCGAGTATGGCATGGCCGTATGCGATACGGTACTCCGAGCCTTTCGTGGTGCGGTACATCGCACATCTCCTCGGTGAAGTTGCACCAGCGGTTGATGATCATGTGATGACTGACGAGACCTATTTAAGCTTCGAGATCCTGGATAACTGCTCAATTGAAGAGTCGGTTTTGTAGGTCGGTAAGCGGAATCTCGTCGTCGCTCTCTTGCTTGAGCTCGTGGGGCGAGAACAATTAGTCCCACGTCTGGGCTGCCCGTGTGATGCCGCGGAGCAGCTCTGTGATAGGAGAAGGAAACATTAGTGACAAAGTCACGTATTGTTGTCTACTAGACTCGGACTTGAGCAGATCTCTTGATGGTGGTAAAGAATATTGGTAGGTATCTACCTCGTCTTTGTATAAGTAAAGGCTTCCCATTTTGCAACGATGTTCTTTGAACAATGACCGGACGTACCTTCCTGTTTTAGAGGATACCTCGAGGTTTATGGCGGTGAGGTATGGCTTTCGTGACGAGGTTCTTGGTGGTGATCTTGTCGGTTTATATATGAATTTGATTTTCCGCGTGCTGCTGAAGAATAGTCAGCCGTGGCCACGATTCTAGACACAAGGAGTGGGGAAGTACTTATATGAAGGGCGTCAACACCTCCAGACTTGGCTCAGCTTTCTTGGATGGTTGAGTGTGGTGCGGTTGTTAGTCCTTTCTCTCCTAAAAATTCTCTTCTCGGTTCCTAGCTTTCTTTGGATTGTCAACATGTTCACGATTGGCATCACCAAGCTGCTTGACCAACTTGATTTCTCTGTTAACCACCCATAAGCGTCGACACATTTGGCAAACACATACGACAAAACTTCCAAGCTTCCGTAGTACACGAGAGTAGATACCAACCCACAGCTATTCAGCTTGGTTGTCAAATAGCGTGTATAACCAAGGGCAAGTTTGTTCATGAATGCAAATAGACAAATAGTTGCCCTTTCCATATCCAAAGTTAAATACAACTATAAACACCTAACTTTTGATGATATCATGCTCAATGATGATGATGGCCAAACTGCGTGAGAAGCGGTAATAGCATCCCCAAGACAGTAAACATGGTGTCCCTCAGCGGCTTTGGTTGCCTCTTCTGTTGCGAACTGCTTCCGTCTGCGTATCCGTTGCTGCTGCCTGAGTGATGATCGTGGGAGTTGCTGTCTTCTTGCATGGCGTGCATGGCCACATACCTGGATATCGTTTGTCAGTCATCATTCCATCAACATCAACCATTACGACAAAATGCCAAGAAAAAGGGGGCAAACTCACAAGAACGTCCCCGCAGAGAACAACAACAACATGCCCGTCCACCACTGTTTGCCTCCGCTCCCTTCTGCAGCCACCTGCCCATCACTTCCGCCCAGGAACAACTGAACGATACAATACGTCACCAACGCTCCAACAGGCGCCGCCGCGCTAAACACGATCAGATGTCCCCTTGCCGCCCGCTTCGACAACCCCTGTCTCAGCAGAACCGAAGTCAACCCAAAAGCTGCCGGCGCTTTGTGCACCATGATAGCCACAAAGATGATGAAGCCCAGACGCATATCCTCCGTCGTGGCGCTAGCTCCCATGGCAATGCCGTCGGCCGCGGCGTGGATGACCAATCCTACTGTTGTCGCTAGCGTGCGAGCTTGTTTTGGCGAGGGGCTGAGGAACGAAGAAAGGAAGCCGTCGGTTTCGGAGGATCCATCGCGTCCCTCAAGGACGGACTCGGAGATGGAGGAGGTCTCGAGGTTGTCGAGGGAAATGTGTCGAGTCTGTGGGCCCGATTGGTAGGAAGAGGCGAAGGCGTGCTGCGGGAGGCGGTCGATGAGAAACATGAGGGCGAAGCCGAGGGTCAAAGAAAGGCCGATCTGAAATGTTGGGAGGCCGTTCTCGTGGTGGTCATCATCGCCCTCCTGCTTTTCGGTTGTGGGGTTGGTGGACTTTTGGAAACTGGACTTTGTGTCTTCCTTTGGTGGCTCTTCATCCCTCTTCTTGCGGAGGCTCTTCAGGATTTGCTCGGCGGTCACGACCTTGTGTGTCTTGATATGGGGGATCTCGTCGCCATTGCTGTTCCTTGCCTCCAGATGGTTTCCAGCGATGCGCCAGTTGACTGTTTGTTGCGAGGACCTCCCTCCCACTCCCATGAGACTGCGCCTCGCAGCAGCGGCAGCATTGTGCAAATGCGCCGGCTGGACGGTGTTTGTTGTCGCGACGGCTTCAATGCCTTCGGGGATGATGACGATAAGGGATGTGCCGACAAGGATTCCAACGCCGATGCTGGATATTAATCGTAGTTGGGATTGCGAGAGGCTCAGGGACAGGGGAAGTGCGCCGGCGAAGAAGGACCTATTTCGTTGTTCGATGTCAGTTTGCGCCCAACGGCAGAGACAATTGAGGATGAACGTACGCCAAGGCCATGACCATCTGTATGGGAATATGTTAGCTTCCAGCCATTTTTCTGATGAAATCGGGTAGGTTTTCCTGCAGTGACGTACACAGAGGGCCAGGAGAATGAGCAGGTTGCCCATCTTGGAGGTTGTGAAGCTTGAACCAGACAGGAGGTTTGAAAGGAGGAAGAAACTAAGATGTACACCGGTCGTTTGTTTGTAAAGTCATTGGCGCATACAGTAACAAGATGACCTCAATGTGCGCGTCGCAAGATGGAGGAGGTCTGGACAAAAGACAGCTGTCCAAGAACCAACGGGGGATGATGTTGTTCAGAAATATTTGGAGTGACACCAAAGAGGAACAACCCGTGAATCAGTGATAAGCAATTGGGGGGCAGGGGGGACAGCATCATCTCTCGCTTAAGCCGATATACTATGCGTTTACTAGTAACAACAGGGTCACCCTAGCCCGCACTAACAACCTTAACCGAGAAGATCGTCAACCATGGCCCGAGCTTTCAATTAACGATACGCGTTCGCCAACCGCGACTCTTTCCTTTGCGACTTTGACTTATTGATCAGATCATCATCTTCCTTTTTGGCCAGACAACGAACCTCCTCTTTTTAACCACCACAATTCTCTGGAGCAACAGAACCTTCCCTTAGATACGTCAGTCCAATACATCAAGTCGAAAATACCACATATCCCAAACACGCGACGACGAAGCTTCAAGCGTCCATCTCGTCCTCCCCCGCGCAGCTTCCCCGCCAGATCCCCCCAACTTCCGTTGCAAACTTCAGATCCCTCACCATGAGCGGAGACGACGATTGTAAGCCCCGACCTTCTCAGACAATCCTGAGAGCCAAAACTGGAAATACTGACTTGCTATACCAGGGTGGACTTCCTCCAATGAGGCCGTCCTGGTCTCTCTCGTCACCCCTACCGACAACGGCGTCAAGACACTGCACACCTTCCACCCGGAATACACAAACAACATCTTCGGCGAAAAGGAACAGATCTTTGGCTACAAGGGTCTACGCATCAACCTTCAGTATAATGCCAGCGATATGCTGCCCAACCTCAAGGTGTCCTACAAGAAAAAGTACCAGAACACAGCCGACGAAGAGGCCCTCGGCATCAACGACGTTTTGTCCGACTTCCTCCCCGAAATCGCCTTCCAGAAGCAGTCTGATTTTGAAACCCGACTCAAGTCCATTCCCGACAACTGGACCCCACCCGGAACTCTCGTCACAAGCTTCAGCAACAAACATGGGGACTTCCAAGTCTATTCCGGCAAGATAACAGATCCGGCAGTCAAGCAGCTCCTCAACCGCATCCAGATTCTCGTTCCCTTCTTCGTCGACGCAGGCACTCCTATCGATCTTGAGGACCCCGATGCCGACCGATGGACATTCTATTTCCTCTACAACAAGCGTTCCCTTCCCGACCACCCCGACAAGTCCTCATACTACTTCGCCGGCTACAGTACCCTCTACCGGTACAATACTTTCCTACCACCCACCGAGACCGAATCGAAGACCCCAACCGATACCCCACCCTTCTCCCTCGACGGTGACTTCGACCTCGATACCCTCCCGTGCCGTACCCGTATCTCACAGTTCATCATCATCCCGCCCTTCCAGCAAAAGGGCCTCGGCTCGCGCCTCTACAGCATCATCTACCAACAATACCTCAAGCACGAGCCAACCATTCAGCTGACGGTGGAAGACCCTAACGAAGCCTTCGATGACATGCGCGACCTCGCCGACCTCGCATTCCTCAGCAAACAACCCGAGTTCCAAGCGCTCAAGATCAATACCAGCATCGCGATTCCCGAGGAGGGCAAAGCCCCCAATAATATCGTCGACCAAGCAGCCGTTGAAGCCTGTCAAAAGAAGTTCAAGATCGTTCCCCGGCAGTTTGCCCGGGTACTCGAGATGTATCTGATGTCTCAGCTCCCCGAGAGCGTCCGGCCAGGTCTGGGCGCTCCCGAGGAGGATGAAGACGAGGAACAAGACGTCAGGAGCAAGGGCAAAGGCAAGGAGAAGGCCCTGCCAGAACCCACAGCCGAAGACGAGCACACGTACAGGTTGTGGATGATGCTCGTCAAGATGAGGCTATACGTGCACAACAGGGACGTGCTGGGTCAGCTGGAGCTTAAGGAGCGCAGGGATGAGCTGGCCAAGGTTTTTGCCGGTGTGGAGTTCGATTATGCGAGGTTGCTGATCAAGGCTGAGGAGCAGGCCAAGATGGCTGCTGCTGGTGAGACTGACCAGGTGCCGGCTACTCCTTCTGCTGCTAATGGTAAGCGCAAGTTGGACGAGGTTGAGCAAGCGGAGGGAGCTGAAGCTGCGTCGAGCAAGAAGGCTAGGGTCGAGAGCGGGAGTGATTAGAGTCGGAGTTTACCTCATCACCCAAGTTCAAGTCCCAAAACTACAGGAGGGTAAAGGATTGGGTGGTCGATAATGGTAGGGTTTGATTGAGCATCGAAAATATGGCATTGCCCCCGTAGGATAAGGTTTTCACATAGCATATCCTCGAGTCAGCGGAGTGGATGTCTTGCATCGTAAAGTAGGTTGAAAACAGCATTGTTGGTGCGAGCATCTATGAATTTGTTTGTTGGTTTTGTTTATTTGTACATATTGGTGAGGGCGTCTGGCGCCTTTTTACGTTATTTATCATATCTTGTCCCCGACCCGTTCTTTATGAAAGGTTGGGCGAGGAATCAAGTTGGCATGAACCGATATGTGCTGTACACTACCACCCTCTGTCTGTCCACCTTGCGTGTTTTGGTTTCGGGACTCTTGGACTTTTTGTCCCATGGTATAGGGAGTCTATCAGATCAGAATCCGTCTTCACAGCCCTGAGCAACCATTCATCCATCTCTTCACTTGGTCATCCTTTACCCTCTCCTCCCATCTTCTTCTCCCACCAACCCCATCTAATGCCTAGTCCCATTAACATTCTTCGCTCCACTCCCCAACAAGCTCGCAACAACAGTCGCCTCCCTAACCGCCTTCGCAACCGCACCCCTCACACCCTCATCCTCCAACACCAACAACCCACCAATCGTGCACCCGCCAGGGGTACTAACCTTCTCCCTCAAAATCGCGGGATGCTCTCCATCCAACACCAGCCCCGCAGCACCCCTCATCGTCTGCGCCGCCATCTTGGTCGCCTCCGCCCTCGGGATCCCCATCGCAACGCCTCCATCAGCCGCCGCCTCCATCACCAGCGCAAAAAACGCCGTGCCGCTAGCGCAAAGGGAAGTGCAGGCGTCCATAAGCGAGGGGGGCAGGAAAGCGACTTCTCCGATTTGCTCAAAAATCCAGGTGAGAAGTTCGGTGACAGAATCAGGAAGGGGCGGCTCAACGGTGTTAATGACCGTCATGCTCTCCCTGATCTTGGAAGCGGTATTCGGCATGGCACGCACGACAATGGGCAGGTCATTCCCCTCCATGCCCACGTCTTCGCGCAAAATCTGCTCGATCTGCGGGACCGTCACGCCGGCGCAGATGCTGATGATGATCTTCTGCTTGCGCACATGGCCTTCCTGGTGGTTAACGGTCAGGGCGTCCTTCATCCCACTGGCGGACAACAGGCCGGAGACCATGTAGGGTTTGCACCCCAAAAGGATGATGTCGGCTTCGGCGACGGCGGAGACGTTGGATGTGGACTGCAACACGCGGAGGGTGCTGACGTTGGGCTTGACGAGCGGGGAGAGGGCGGACTCGACTTTGACGATGGAGGATTGGGAGCGCACGGTGGCGATGAAGTGCCGCGGGAGAGCGGGTGGCGAGGTGGGCGGGTCGGAGGGGGAGGAGGCGAGGGAGGTGAGGGAGGTGAGGATGCCGGAGAGGATGGCGATACCCATTGTTCCTGTTAAAGAGTTAGTTATCGTGCTTTCAATGTTGAGATGAGTAGGGGTGGTGAGGACAGCGAAATGGTGAGGATGAGCGAGGGTGGTTAGTACTTACCGCAGCCGAGAACGGCCATGGTGAGCTCGGAGGAGCTCTTTACTTGAGGAGCAGCCATCTTGTTGTTGTTATTGTTGTTGTTGTGTGTTGTGAGTGTTTTTGCTGTGTTTTGGATACGATAGTTGCTGTTTATTCAAATTCCAAAAGTGGAAGAGAACAAAACAAACAATTTCTTGTTGTCGGGCGAGACGTTTGAGAAAAAAGTAAAGAAAGGTCGAAAAGACCCCGAGTTTTCTCAGTTCGATCTCGATGAGGCCCAAAACGGGAACTTATTCATCAGCTCGCTACGTCGATCCCGAGATAGGTGTGATATCACTCTATCGGTCAGTTTGTGAGTTGTTGCCCGCTATCTCCACTGTGTCGTCGCTATGGAAAGACCCACCAGGACCCCGGTATCGCTACGACACAGTACCTTAACAGTACCGAGAAGCTTTTAGCGCCTCGTTAGTGTGTTCACCGCCTGCTATATGCGGGTTAGTGTGGTATACCTTTTACGTTCAACACTTCACGGATTGTCTTGGAGACTTTCTTGTGTTGTTGGTGACGACAACTACCTAACCTTGGGGTGCCTTTGTGCCCTGTCATATTCATGAATGTACCATCAATTTGCTTTCCTTGACAATTCGAAGTTAAAGTCAGCCTCACCTACATCTGTCTGAGTGATTTCTTTCGAAGTCAAAAGCAGGTACTGGTACAGGTTTATGCAAGCGCCTTCAAGCAGGCAGGCGAGAAGTACTTGCATAAAGTTCAAGCTTCGTAAACAATTGGGGTAACTCGACCACAACTCACTTACACCCGAACAACAAACTTAAACATACAACAAAATCCCACTCATACAAGACCTTTTTTTTCTCCCAACTACATTGCCAAAAATTCAAGTCATACCAACATCTCAAAGCAAAACATCATAAATCACCAACAACGCAAAAATGGCCGACCCTTTCGAGGTGCGCATGCGCTTCACCAACCAACTCCGACAACTAAGTGCCTCGGTGACATCCTCGCAAAAAGCAGCCCAGTATGCTCTTCGGCACAAGGACTTGGCCGAGGACTTGCACTCTTGCATTTTGGAGCAACTTGAAAGGGTATGTTTTTTTTTTTCAGTTCCCTCATGTTTGTTCATTCAACAACCGCTTCGGGATGCTATGCCAAACCAACCAACCAACCTTATCCATCCCTTCAAACGGCTCGTTGGCTTCTCCAGGACATTTTACTGACCAGGATAACAGAGCAACCTAAACATGCGAGCCAACATCATGTACTTCATCGAGCACTTTCTCGATATGGCCCACAAGGACGGACAGGAGGATTACATCCGCATGATGCAGCGGGACATTATTCGGGTGGTCGATGCCGTGGCGCCGGATGACGGGTCGGGGGCGGCTAATGTCAAGGTTGTGCGGAAGGTCTGTCTTTCCCCTTACCTCCCCTCCCCTACCTACCTCTTTTCTGTTCTCGGCCAATACTGACACGCAAAAACAGGTCCTCCAAGCCCTCCACGCCAAATCCTTCCTCGACGCCACCATCCTAACCGACATCTTTGAAGTCCTCCGCGAACGTGGCGAATCCTACGTTTCTTCCCAAGGGGACTTGGTTCTCTCCCCATCTGCCAACAATTCCTCTTTGTCAGGCTATGACGCCAACATGCCCCCCTCGCAAACCGCCATCCACGCTCCCCCACCTCCTACAGCCACCACCGCCGGCCCTTCCACCCATGGCTCCGCCAAAGCCACAGCCACAGCCAACAACAACAACAACAACACCACAGCCGGCACCTCCTCTTCCAGTCACCACAGCAACTTGAACAAACGCGGCGGAGGCATCAACACAGCCGCCCCCCGCCTCGACAAGAAACAAGTTGAGCAGCGCATCGAAGAGGACCGCGAGAGGCACAAGAGACTTAGGGAGAATATCTGGGCGGTGCCGAGCAGGGAGGAGATGGAGCGGTTGCTGGACGAGACGTCGGAGCTAGGCGAGGACGATATGAGGGGGGATGTGGGAGGAGCAGGAGGAGTGGGAGAGGAGCTTGCAGGCGGGGATTACGGGGGGTGGGTGTGGGCATAATACCACTGCTGCGAATGGCAACGGAAACGGAACATGGAAAGATAAAGATACGAGGAATGGGGGTGGGGGGGAAAATGGGGATAGCAGGAATGGGAGTGGAATTGGGGAGAAAAATGGAGAGAAGAATGGCGACAGCAGCAGAGGAAAGCAAGGGGGAAAACCAGTGTCAATCAGCGCCGAAATCGCCGAAATGACAAGGAGGAAAGAACTGCTGCTGCAGCAGCAGCAGCAACAGCAGGAAAGAGAACAGCAGGACAATGACAAGGACAAGGAGGATCAAGATGTTGACATGACTTCAGCCTAGTTGAAAACAGAGGAGGAAGAGGAAGAAGAAGAGGAAGAGGAGGAGAAAGAGGAAGAAGCCCTCAGGGTGGAATCTGACAAAGAAAAAAAAAGCAGCTGTTGTTGCTGATGATGACCTTGGAAAACTTCGGAGCTTCAACAAGGGGAATCCAACGAACTGAGGAAGATGATGACTACTGGTACTACTGGTACTACTTGTACTAGGTGGAAATTCCGCTCTGGGAAGAAGACGGGGAATGAAAGGAGGAAGTTGAAGATGGCGAGGAGGAGGTTGTTGGGGATGTTGTAGTAGGTGGGGAGAGGATCAAGGTACAAACACGTACATCGATATGCATGGGATGGCGTTTGTGTTTTAGTTTGGGTGTTCAGTTCTGTATGGTTTCGGAAAAGCGAAAGTGGGTAGCACTATCTTGAGAGCGGTGTCATGTTGCTGGCAGAGGCTCTCTTAGTGTTCAATCCCCAAAGCGAATGTTGATATCACTAGCTCAGCATGTCATGGCAGAGTTCTCTTGTTTTCGCTGGCAACCCGTTCTTCTATCCATCCCAAGTTCGTTCGTGGTATGATATAATGTTACATGTTTCATTGCTTTTTATACACGTACAAGTGGTGGTATATGTCGTTGTGAGAGGAATGTATGCGTCCGCCCCCCTCTTTCTTCCACGAGGATATATATGGGTAAGATGAGACCGGGTACCCCCCTCTATATGTTCCCAAGGCCCTGGAATTTCTTCCAATTCTCTCCGTCATGATCATCATTATCGAAAAAAAAGACATGTCTTTCCGGCATCTGTGTCTGGAAAAGATTCCCTCATGTGGTTCTTTTTTGTCGGGGGGCGACGTGACCATCATCCTACACAACTCTCTTACACACACACGGGCGCCTCCTCCACCCAAAACCACACCATCACACAGAGAGAAAAACCATACCGACAGCCCTTCCATCAAAGAGAGAGGCAGCAAGCAGCAAGTTTAATCCATGGTGACAACGGCGCCAAGCTCCTTCATGGCGGCAACAATCTTCTCGGCGTCCTCCTTTGGTACCGACTCCTTCATGACCTTGGGCGCGCTCTCGACAAACTTCTTGGACTCTACTAGGGAGAGGCCGAGCAGGTTCTTGACCTCCTTGATGACCTTGGGCTTGGCGGCGGCGTCGAACTTCTCGAGCTTGAGCGTGAAGAGGGTCTTCTCAGCGGCGGCAGGGGCGGCCTCCTCCTCCTCGGCGGGAGCAGCGGCGGGGGCGGGGCCGGACGCGGCGGCGGCGAAACCACCAACGGGGAGGTCGGGGATGTTGAGGCGGGACTGTTTTTTGTGCGGAAGGGAAGGAGTTAGTAATATGTTTATGTACAGTCCAACTTGAGTAGAGGTAGGTAGGTAGAGGTAGGTATGTATAAAAGTCCGGAGCCGGGCCGGGTCGGGGCGTGAAACACCCGGGACATGTTGAAACATGCGCCGGGGTTGTGTCCCGGGTCCCGGCTCCGGCTTTTCGACATTAACTCGGGCGTACCTTGAGGCTGGCGACAAGCTCCGAGGTCTCGAGAAGAGTGAGGGTGCTGATCTGGTCAACAATGGCGGAGATCTTGGGGTTGACGGCAGGGGCAGCGGCGGTAGACTCGAAGCGCTTCTGGACGAGGAGGGAGCTCGAGGCCCGGGTGGATGCGCGGAGCTGGCGGGCGGCGCATTGCGCGGCGAAGCGAACCGAGAGAGACATTGTGTTGGTCTGGTTGGGTGTGTGTGTGTTTTGGTGGAGGTGGGTTTGTAGGAGGGAGTCGGACTCGGACCGGAGGAGGAGAAGAGGGAAGAGGGCGCGCGGGGGCGGACGGATTGGGAGGTTCTCTTTGGTGAGGGAGGGCTTGCCGTCGACGTCGACTTTCGAGGATCGTAACAACCGAACCGTACAACTAAAACGGAGATATTTTTTGGGGACGTTGTCGCTCCTCCCGGGTGCTGCGAAATCTGGGACCCACCACTGGCAGTTGGCAGCTTGGGTGCTTTTGCTGGGAGAGCTCTGTCCCTGGCGGCTGGCTGACCCGAGCTGCAGCTGGAGGGGAAAACACAAGCTGCCTGCCCCGCGGGGGTCTGGGGATTGAGGTACCGCCGTACCTTGAAGCCCACTGAAAACGCGCTAAAAGATGGCCCCCTGTCATCCCAGACGCGCCCCTGCCGCTGTTCGTCCCACCCGCACTCTTTCATCTCACTCAGTGCACTGCACTTTGAAGAAAGCGGCTCCCTTGCCTGCCGCCACAGCAGCCGACTTACATGCGGCTAGCAGTCTTAGCACTAGCATGCACCCCACTATCACTCAATGCGATAAGGAATTTCATGTGGGAAAAAGTTCCAAACGGGCACTCAAGCGAACTGAAGGGTCAATGGGCAAAAAAAGTTAAGAAAAAAAAAGACACTAACAAAAACATCAACCGTCTTCAACAACAACGACGACGACGACGACGACAACGACGACAACACTCACAACAAGCCGTCCGTCGCTTTTCCCCTGGCCAATATGGCCGTGATCGATGTGAGCCAGCAGAGGGCGTCGCTCCTTAGCGATGCGACCACCTTGGACCTCTTGCCGCCAGAGTTGCTGCTCATGATCCAGGATCACCAATCGACCAAATTCCTTGACGCCATCGCCAGTGCCGCTCTTGTCTCGACAGCCACCGATCGTGTTTTCACCCACTTCGAGTCCGTTTTTGCCGACATCTGCGCCCGATGGATCCTGTCTTCTCCAAAACTCGACACGCGAGTCCTTGCCGCTTTCGCACGGATATTGCCCTTCGCCCCGTCGCTGTCCGTCTTTCTCGTGTCGCATCTTCGAGGAGGAGCTTCTGGTGGTGATAGCAACAGCAGCAACAATAACAACAACAGCAACAACGACGATGCTTCTCAGAACCCACCTCTTGATTTCCTTGACCTAGCCTCCATCCGCCCAGTTGACCTCTCAATTGTTCTCCTAGCCCTCTGGAGGCTCACCAACTTTGACAAGCGCACCTACGCCGGCCTGTCAAAGCCTTCCCAAATACAGACCCTGTTCACACACGAGAACCCCATCGTCCGATACCTTGCCGTCCGAATTTTCTGCCAGCTTCATAATGCCGCCGATGTCAAGCTCGAAGCTCTCCTCGAAAAGCATATACCCAAAGATACCAGCCTTGTCTCAGAGCTCGACGGGCGCGAAGCCGACTATGCCTTCCTCAGCCTATACGAAGATGCTAGACGTGAAGAGATTCAGAACTCTCGCAGTAAATCCCAGACTAGTGAGGTCGATGATACGACTGTCAAATCCAAGATCACAACCATTCCAGAACAGAGCCTCACTCCTCTAGTTGTCAAATATGGAAAGACGGTCCTCCCGCGTCCCCTCGGCCCTGTGACTGCTCCCACCACACTCGCCCTTACCCCGACTACTGTTGAGAACCTCGAGAACCTCACTGGATGCCTACAACGACCGGGCCCTATTCTCCTCCACGGCCTTTCCGGTTCCGGCAAGACCTCCTTGGTTCACGAGGTTGCACGCGAGTTGGGCAAGCAGAAGCAACTAGTGACACTACACCTAAACGAGCAAACCGATGCCAAGATGTTGCTTGGATTATATACCACCGACTCGAAGCCCGGCTCCTTCTCGTGGCGCCCAGGTGTGTTGACCACCGCGGTCAGGGAGGGAAGATGGGTCTTGATTGAGGATCTCGATCGCGCGCCAACAGAAGTCATGAGCACACTGCTGCCCCTTATCGAACGAGGAGAGCTCCTGATTCCCGGACGCGGCGAGAGCATACAGGCCACCGAAGGCTTCCGCATATTTGCTACTGTCCGGACGCTGCTCGGCATGAACGACAAGGAGAACCTACCCAGCCTGATCGGACTGCGCCTCTGGCAGCTTGCCCACGTCAAGGCTCTTCCTCAACAAGACTTGAAGGACGTCATCAACAGCAGATACCCCTTGCTTCACAAGTACATCCCGGGAGTGTTGGCGGTCTTTGATGCGTTGCTGGCAGCCACCAGCGGTTCGACCCGTCTGTCGCTCGGCCGCATGGTCTTCGAGCGGCCACTCGGCACAAGAGATCTCCTCAAGTGGTGCGGGCGCCTAGATGAGATTCTCCGTGCTTCCGGCTGCAAGACTGGCGAGGAGCCTATTACCGACACCACCCGGGACCGCATGTTCCTCGAGGCGGCCGATGTTTTCGTTGGTGGAGTCAAGGAGATTAACGCGCGTAATATTCTAATTGGTGTCATTGCGAAGGAGATGCATCTCTCTCCCGAGAGAGTTGAGCACTACCTGACGAGCTACGTTCCCGACTTGGAGGATAACGAGTCGAGACTCACCGTCGGCCGCGTCTCGTTTGCGAAGGGCAGGAAAACAACCCGTGGAGCCAAGAACAAGAGGCCTTTCGCCACCACCACTCATGCTAAGCGGTTGTTGGAGCAGATTGCGGTTGCTGTAAGGCACAAGGAGCCACTCCTGTTGGTCGGTGAGACGGGTATCGGTAAGACTACCGTGGTTCAGCAGCTGGCGGAATCGCTTGGTCACCAACTTGTCGCCGTCAACTTGTCCCAGCAGAGTGAAGCTGGTGATCTTTTGGGTGGCTTCAAGCCTGTCAGCGCACAGACCCTCGCCATGCCTATCAAGGAGGAGTTTGAGGACCTGTTCGAGAGGACTGGTGTCTCTGCTGAGAAGAACAAGGCCTACTTGGACGGCATCAACAAGAAGTTCGCCAAGGGCAGGTGGAGAGAGGTTTCCAAGGAATGGCGCAAGGCCCCCAAGATGTTCGAGCAAATCCTCGCCAAGTTCGAGAGCATGCAAGCAGCCAAGGCCGTAGAGGCAGAGGTCGCCGAGGAGAACCAGGAGCAAGGCCCAGCCAAGCGTCGGAAGACCGAGTCTAGCAAGCTTCAGCGCCTGCGTGATCTCAAAGCTCGCTGGGACTTGTTTTCCCAGAGTCTCGATCAGTTCGATAGACAGGTTGCGGCTGGTCCTGGTGGCTTTGCTTTTGCTTTCGTCGAGGGCAAGATTGTCAAGGCGGCGAGAAACGGTGACTGGGTCCTGCTCGATGAGATCAACTTGGCCTCTCCTGATACCCTGGAAAGCATTGCTGGCTTGTTCCAGACCAATCCCTCTCTTCTGCTCTCGGAAACGGGAGAGATTGAGAGAATCCAGGCCCATCCTAACTTCCGCGTGTTTGGTGCCATGAACCCTGCCACTGATGTGGGCAAGAGAGATCTTCCCATGGGTTTGAGATCTGTAAGTTATTCTGTTCCCTCCCAGTTCGATGACAGCAGCTTACCAGACAATAGCGTTTTACCGAGATTTACGTCCAAAGTCCTGACCGCGACAAGAAGGACCTCCTCACCATCATCAAAACGTACCTCAAGGGAAACAACAGCAGCATCGATCGTTTGTCCGACGACATTGCCGACCTTTACCTTGAGATCAAGAAGAGAGCTGAGGCCAAACTGCTGGTGGACCAGGCCAACGAGGTGCCGCATTTCAGTTTGCGTACTTTGACCCGCGTTTTGACATACACCAACGATGTGGCTCCCTTTTACGGCCTCGAAAGAGCTGTTTATGAAGGTTTCTGCATGGGCTTTACAACCTTGCTTAGCGAGGAATCGGAACGGACGGTTATGCCACTTATCCAGCAACATCTGCTGAAGAAGGCTTCCATCTTGACTAATCCTCCTAAGAGGCCTGTGGATGGCAGAAACTACGTCAACTTTAAGAACACCGCCAAAGACCATCAGTACTGGTTGCTTCAGGGCAATGAAACACCAATCGAGCGCCCAGACTATGTCATCACCCCTTATGTCGAAAGAAATCTGTTGAACTTGGTTAGAGCTACGTCTACTCGCAGATACCCCATCCTCATCCAGGGTCCTACCTCTGCGGGTAAAACCAGTATGATCGAGTACCTCGCCAACTATACCGGCAACAAGTTCGTGAGAATCAACAACCACGAACATACCGACTTGCAGGAGTACCTTGGCACCTACGTCTCGGACTCCAACGGAAAGCTCAAGTTCCAGGAAGGTATCTTGGTTCAGGCCATGAGGGAAGGATCGTGGATTGTTCTCGACGAACTGAACTTGGCACCCACCGATGTCTTGGAGGCCCTCAACCGTCTTCTCGATGACAACCGTGAGCTTCTCATTCCTGAGACACAAGAGATCGTCAGGCCAGCAGAGAACTTCTGCCTCTTCGCTACCCAGAACCCTCCCGGTCTCTACGGTGGTAGAAAGGTTCTTTCTCGTGCCTTCCGCAACCGTTTCCTCGAGCTTCACTACGACGATATCCCCGAAAGCGAATTGGAGACCATTCTCCAGAAGCGCAGCCGCAACACTGCTCCCTCTGACTGCCGCCGCATCGTCCAAGTCTACAAGCAGCTCACCCGTCTCCGCCAGGAGAGTCGTGTTTTCGAGCAGAAGAACTCTTTCGCCACACTCAGAGATCTGTTCCGATGGGCGCTCAGAACCGCTGAAACCCGTCAAGAAATCGCCGACCACGGCTTCATGCTCCTTGCCGAGCGTGTCCGTAAGCCCGAGGAGCGCGAGGAGGTCAGGAAGGTCATCGAGGAGGTGTTTAAGGTCAAGATTAACCCTGATGAGCTCTATGACCGTGACATTGCGCCCGAGTTCCGTGGCACTGGTGGTAACAAGAACAACAGCCAGGGTGTGATTTGGACCAGAGCCATGCGCCGCCTGTACGTCCTAGTTAAGCGC